AGCTCGATTTAGATCATTGAACTTCTTGACCATGTCTTCTGCTTGGGTAGAGGGCGTGAGAGTCGCGTGGTGTTGCTGAAGAAACTGAAGCACCAGGTTGGCCAAATGGTCGTGAACCTTGATGCGCTGGTTGAAGTCGTCAAGGTTGAGCCCCAGCGAGTTGGCAAGGTCCTTTTCCAAAGTAAGCAGGTTGACCGACTGTGATCGTCGTAGTAGTTTGGAACAGGTACTCCAAAGCAGGGCCTCGGTGCGAGTGCGAAAGCCTTCCCACATCACGAATCTGCCGTGAGCAAATGGTCGCAGTAGCCAGTTGGTGATGCCCCCGTGGATGACCTGTACCAGGCGAACGTCCCGGATGTCCATGCCAGACATGTCACGTAGATTGTTGCGCGGGGTGCTGGCAACCGTCATGGGCAGGCTAAAGGAGTAGAGCTGGTTGATGTCTAGCATGCCATCACCAGGTGTCCAGTCAACCGGTGGAGTAAGCCATGCTTTCTGAGGTCGAACTGGCAGCGCAGCTGGGTGTCCAGGCGATGGTGAAGCTTGGGGAGAAGTAACCGGTGGTGGCATCACGGGCGTCATGAACTTCGCTGGCGTGGGCTCCGGAGGAACTGGCATCATGTAGTTGACCGGTGAATGATGAAATTGCTGCGTAGGGTTTGGATTCGATTGATAATTGCCTGGCATCACTGGAAAGGTGTTGTTGGAGTTGTAGCCCGAATTGTGTTGCCAGGATAGCAAGTTGTTCCAATCCATGCCCTCCGAGACCTGATTGTCATTGTGTTCACGTCGGCGTGCTTTGCGAGGCTGAGGGGAAGGACTCCGATCCCGTCTGCGCCGAGTTCTGGATCTGTCACGATCATCCCGACGCGACATGACAAAACAACAACACGTTCGAAAAAGATAAAGCTCATCCTTGAGGAAAGATACAAACGACAAGCCACAATCAACGGCAGCTCATGAAAGCAGCGGCAGCCAGCGTGGTGAAACGTAACTACCTGATTGTCATGGCTGTTCGTCGGCGTGCTTTGCGAGGCTGAGGGGAAGGACTCCGATCCCGTCTGCGCCGAGTTCTGGATCTGTCACGATCATCCCGACGCGACATGACAAAACAACAACACGTTCGAAAAAGATAAAGCTCATCCTTGAGGAAAGATACAAACGACAAGCCACAATCAACGGCAGCTCATGAAAGCAGCGGCAGCCAGCGTGGTGAAACGTAACTATGAAGAGGTGGCTGTCTTCCCTTTAGTGAAACCTCGTTCCTGGTTAAATGTGAAATTCCGCTGATCTATGATAAGCACGTTGAGGTCAAGTTTTCCGACAGAGCCGGCCCGGGGTCACACAATGGGTACACCCGAGGATTCCCCACGAATGGGGTGTACACACTTAAACTCCAGATGGAGGGTGCTAATCTTTCGAGTACAACTGGTAAGTCTCGGCTTGGATAAGGTTCTTCATGCATAAGTTTCGGCTCGCAATCACTGGCTTCCCTCTAGTGCGAAAACGTTACCCGAAAGAACAAGAAGCACAAACAGCGCCACAACCAAGGGGGCCAAAAGGACATTCAGAATCACGGAAAGCAGATACGCCGGATTGATCAGATCCGGTATCCCATGACTGAGTAGCTTCGTTGAGTGCGGTCCCTCAGTCATGCCGCACTCCCCTGCGCTCAATTGTGGTGACAGGGTATTCTGCCACTCCGCACACACACACACACACACACACACACACACACACACACACACACACACACACACACACACACACACACACACACACACACACACACACACACACACACACACACACACACACACACACAACACACACACACACACACACACACACACACACACACACACACACACACACACACACACACACACACACACACACACACACACACACACACACACACACACACACACACACACACACACACACACCACACACACACACACACACACACACACACACACACACACACACACACACACACACACACACACACACACACACACACACACACACACACACACACACACACACACACACACACACACACACACACACACACACACACACACACACACACACACACACACACACACACACACACACACACACACACACACACACACACACACACACACACACACACACACACACACACACACACACACACACACACACACACACACACACACACACACACACACACACACACACACACACACACACACACACACACACACACACACACACACACACACACACACACACACACACACACACACACACACACACACACACACACACACACACACACACACACACACACACACACACAGCGAACAGCTTTTTTGTTTGTTCCCCACGCCCCCACCCAGAATCCGGCCAGAACAGCTTGCCAGTGGATCCCGCCGAGTATCCCGCCAGAGGTCGCCAGTGGATCCCGCCGAGTATCCCGCCAGAGCTCGATCCTTCCGAGTATCCC